CGCATCCGACGCGTGGTGTTCGTGGGGGCCCCGCGGCGACAGCCGGGCAGGCCTCTCGCGACGGCCGATGGAGACTGGCCAGCGCTGTCGGCGGGCGAGTGTGCGGCGCACGCGCTGCGCGTAGGCGGCGCGTGGGCGGGCGGCCCGCCCGGCCGTCGGTGAGCACCGGACGCGAGGGTCGGTCGGCTCTTAACTAGCTGTATATAGTCGCGATCTGCCGGCGTGCGTATGAGCTCACTAGCTAGAGCTCACACTAGAGGCCGTCATCGCATTCGCCTTCCTGGGACCCAGCGCTGACTTCTGACTGTCGTTGCTGTCTCTCCCCCTTCTCGACTGTCTGTGCTTGTGCGTCTTGGGTCCGGAGTTGTGCGTTTATGTGAAGAACCGCTCTCGCGGTGGAGGATCCGGTGGACGCGGGAGACACCACCAAATCCCGGCTGTTCCTGTGCCTCCTCTGCCTCCTCCGAGAACCAAAACAACATATGGACGACTGCTCCTCTGACTCCTCTGCCATGCCGACGACGGCGTCCCACGTTTCTGGCGTCACCATCCACATCCCGGCTGTTCCTGTCATCGAGCTCACGCTCCTCGTTATTGCAGCACTGCTGTGGCGCTTGCTCGTTGCGGTGCACGCGGGACTGGCGATGCTCCATGCGTTGCAGGCAGAGAAGATTCCCCACTCCGGCGTGCCGTCCGCGGAGAAAGGCAGCCCCCCGCCACCGCCGCACCTCTCGCGCCAGCTCTCTCGCGAGCGGCTCCGAGGCGGCATGCCTGTGCCGCCTCCGTCTCCCCGCGGCGAAGGCGAGCCAAACATGCTGGCCGACGCGCGGCCGCTGCGAATTTCGGCCGGCCACTTTGGCAAGTGCTTGAGCGGCGATGCCGACGTCGACGTCGCCTTATTCATAGCAGCCTGCCAGGCGTGCAGTCACAGTGCGGACGAAGTGTGGGCCGTCGCCTCAGCGCCGCCAACCCGCCGCCTCCCTCCTCCCTCCCTCCACCCCTCCCTCAGAACTATTGCAAGGTGCTGGCGCTCATCGGGCCCTTCACGCTGCTGTCGACGCGCGAGGTGATCTCCAACATGAAGAAGATTGAACACTCCTTCGAGCTGGCGCCGGTGCGGGCATCAACCGAGATCGACCGAGATCTAGCTGACTCGGTCGAAACACACCGCGAAACGTCCGCGACACGCCCGCGACACGTCCACGACACGCCCGCGACACGCTCACGACACGCCACGACACGCCTGACGTGTGCCCGTCCGCAGGTGCGGTACCGCTCGATGCGAGAGCTGCTTGAGGCGGAGGTTGCGGCGGGGATGCACCAGCCGGGAGGCGTGCTCTCTCTCTCTCCCTCCCTCGCTTCTCCCCCCCCCCCCTCTCTCTCGACTCT